AAAATATCAACGTCCCTTAATGCTCAACACCCACTTAGCCGGGCATGGAGGAACATAAATAGAATTAAGGGTAAACCGAAACTGGGGGCAGATCGCGCACCCTCATCCCTTGATAGGCGAATGAGGTATTAGTCAGATGCTTGGGCTGCTACATCTAGCTATAACAAACTTCCCATAAACCAACACAGGGCAAAATTAAATGACAAATAAGAATGCAAGGGAGAGACCCTGCTTTGCCTTTATGCTCAGCAAAGGCAGATGATTGGCCACATTCCCTTTCACTAATTATGAACTTGATGCAGCGCTAAGGAAGAGGCAACTCCCACTCGGGGGGGGGGCCTGGTGAGGATGGTATTACTTACAACATACTCAGAAATTTGCTGTGTCGATACCAAGGTAATCCTTTACTTGAATTATATAACATGAGCTATTTAACACTGGGAGCTCACCTCAATCTTGGACCAACAGCCCCTCATTCCAATTCCTAAAGCCAATCAACAAAATGTATTTCGCCAAATATCTCTTACTAGCAGCATGTGTAAAACATTTGCGAGAATGAATCTTATCGTCTCATGTACAGAATCAAACAATTTTTGTCTCCTTCCCCGGTTTACATGGTTTCAATTCATCAATGCATGGAAAGGAGGCGTTGCCATCATTGCATTAGATGCCACCTTTGTCTTTCCCTCACCCTGCACACTGACAGCTCTTCCTACACTAACCCTTCCCCGACCTTAAAATCCGCTTTCGATGTAGCCAACCGACATGTAAAAAATTAAGGTGAACCTTGCCAGAATGGATGTTGGAGGATGGCCTTCCTCTTTTCCTCATTTCCACTTCTCCGCTGGATTAAAGGCTACCTGTCCCACAAGAAAATCGTTCTGTGTGTTCCAGGGACATAGAAGTGTAACTAAAGACTATTGAATTAGTAACCCCACAGGAGGTGTGCTCAGTCCCACACTGTTCAATATTCTAATTAATGCATTACTTAAATGCTAATGCCATAGTCAGAGACCCCCATAATTATGTGATTAAGTTTTTCTGAAGATGATTATTGATCACCACCACCGGAATTCTCCCAACAAACCCAAAACATTCTTAATCATGTACTAGCCTCGTGTCAGGACCTGGGTTTGATAATCTCTACTGATAAAACAAAGATACCAACAGCTCCCCCTCCTCGACAGAAGGGCACACGTCATAAATTCCATTGCATGAATATGGGTTCTCTTCTAGAATATGTAAGCCATAAACAGGTATCTAGCTTTGAGGTTTTCTTCCACTACTTGGACCTGATTGTAACAAGAGACTTTGTCGCCAAATACAAAAGAACGACTAAGAGCAACTTAGAGTTGTGGCAGGGCTTCAAAACAACCCCCAGGTATGGTGCTAATGTTTAAAAAAAATTGTGAAAATGATGTATCTTGCTTATATTAGATCATTGATTGATTATGGCTGCGCCACTAAGACTAGTCTTTGTGTTCTGACTGAAGCTTGGAGGCTGGAAAAACAGCAGAAAACGAAAGCAATGAGAATACATCCTAGGATGCCCTCGTACTGGCCAAAATTTTAAATAGCAAAAAGAACTTGATATTCCAACATCAGAGATCGTGTTACGAAAGAAAATATCTAATTGGGGTTTAATATGCTCAGGCAAGCTCAATCAAACCCCTCACTAGAAGCCCCTACCAAACTTTCTCCTCACACGTGAACAACTACTCCAGATGATCGAAACGACTGAACCGACCTCCGCCTGTAATCAGATACATGAACTATGTTCAAGTAAAGGCAACAGCGGCACGTCTCCGCTCCGTGGAATAAATAGTAAGTAAGTAAGATAAAAGTAAATATATTCATGGGTATACCAAAACAAGTTACAAGAATTAATCATAAACATAGCAGCATATGTGTAGAGAAAAAACCTAGGAAATCCCAAAAAAGGTCAACAGAGTGACTTATTTCATTGGGTCCATTCCAAACTATACCATTCCTCCATTTCCCCTCCCTCCAAACTACTTCTTAAATCACAACCAAAACTTCGCCTTGAAGAGCCAAACATGAGGCCCTTAAAGCTGTATTGATAACTTAGTCACACAGGCACACAAACCTCACCCTCCGCAAATTATTTACGTTGAAGTTTTCTGTTCACCAATCCACTGGTGCAGCTGTAGTGCTGCAGCTGTCGTACTAGTGATGGCTCTCATAAAAGAAATTTGGAGCAACGCATCAATAATTGGGCCTCTACCCCTCAGACAGACTGTTGCCATACTCCTTGCACTGAAATGCTCTATGTATCAAAAAGATTGACAGTTTAAAATTTGTAACTGATTCTCTGTCCACATCCCATAAATGCTCTCAACTCATTAAGCATAAATTGTGGCTGCTTGTGTAGAAGCCAGACAACAGGTTATGGTAGGTTTGTGGACAGTGGAGTCAGAGTGCACATAGCTGTGGATTTTCCCATCTCACATTGGTCTTCATATCATGATAGAATCTGATAACTGTGGCTAAGCTGAATGCTTTCCAAAGAGGGAGTAGATTACCATCTTGGATTGTCCAGGTAGTAGTTTGAGAAACCATAAATACCTGGAGTTTTACCTGAGAGAGTTTCGGGGGTCCAACGCCCCCGCGGCGTCCCGCGGTCCTGTGATCCAGGCCTCCTGGTGGATCAGCCGCCTGATCAACCAGGCTGTTTGCTGCTGGCCTGCACGCCAAAACCAACGTACAGCCACAGCCCGGCTGAATCATGAAACAGACTTTAGGTGCTGAATTTTTATGGACATAAGCTCAGGGAGATTGGACACCAGTGAGTGTCCAAATCTATCATCAGTCTATTCTAAATCATGCACAGTGAGGCCACATGTCTATATGTGCATCCATTCAAAATAAAAGTCAGAACTCTTGGATGTCCACTACCGAGCCCGGCTCCGGCTGGTTACAAGTATCCTTGGCAGGTTAAATCACCACCACCAAATGTAGACCAAACGAATGTAAATTGCCAGATGGATTATTGTCACAAAAAACAAAAAAGAGCACCCCACCCTGCGTCCATTAAGACTGAGTGCGATAAAATTAATGAATTAAGAAAAACAACTCACTCAGAAGTGTTCAAAAATGGCTAAGTATTTTATCCACAGTGGTATATTACAGACCATTCGGAGAATACCCTGACTTGTGCAAGCTGTAAAAAAAGCATGACCACATAATGTGCATGTGTGTGTGTGTGTGTGTGTGTGAGTGTGAGGTTGTGTGATGTTGTATGTGGTGTGTTGTTGTGTTTGTGTATGTTGAAATTATGTGTAGTGCGTGTTTGTGTGGGTGTGTGGTGTGTGTGAGTATGAGTGTGTGTGTGGAGTATGAGTGTGTGTGTGTGTATGGAAGAGTGTGTGTGTTGTGTAATGAGTGTGTTGATGCGTGTGTGTGTAAGTAGTTTGTGTATGTGTGGTGTGTGTGTGTGTGTGTGTGTGTGTGTGTGTGTGTGTGTTGATTGTGTGTGTGTGTGTGTGTTGTGTGATTTTGTGTGTGTGTATGAATTTGAATGTTGTGTGTGTGTGTGTTGTGAAGAGAGAGAGAAGACTCAGCAATCAACATTTGCACCAATAACCTACACTACAGTTGTGGACTGGGTTGTGGAAGTGTGAATTTGCTCATTACCACTCAAAATTGTTCTGAAAAAAAAAATGCAGGCCATGTATACACTAAGTAACCATTCTTACAGTATTCATTACCTTTGTCACTTGTGAGTTCATTAACCTTTGTAACTTGTGAGTTCAAACATGTTGGAGGGCCCCGGGTCCCCTGAGGAACCCATTGTGTAACCTCTGTAATCTTAAATACGTTACTCTTTGTCAACTTGTCATTGATTGTGACTAGACTACCTGGAGGTACATTACCTTTGAAATTGTGAGTTCATACCTTTGTAAATTGTGAATATCATTACCTTGTAACTTGCTCGCTATCATAACTTTGAGGCCCAGTCTCCCTGGAACCAATTATGTAACAGCTGACACCGGGTGTAATCTTATTGACTACCGCCGGCACAGGATGGGTATGTGATGACTAATACCGCCCACAGATGGGTTAAGGTGATTGACTACCGCCCACAGGATGGGTATGGGGTGCATAATAAAACATATAAAACTACTTAAACTGAATAAAAGCTGAAAACATCAAAACGGCATAAATAAACCGAGCTCCACTCAAATTACAGAAATAACAAAAATGAAATCTCCATTTTCAGAACACCAATAACCAAAACGTGAACTGGTGGCACCGCAGCTGGATTTATCACTTACCACATATCACAATGTGGATTACTAAGACATTTCCGGCCGAGTCACTACTGCACGTCATTAACTCAGTTTTCTGGCCTCAGCACCCGTGCAGGCCTAGGGGACACACATGATAGTTTAAGAGACGATGAACCAGAGGATTCGTATTATTAATATTATGATTAAATATGGGGGAGCACTAAATCCGTAGGATTATAACAGTGCATGTGGGGGGATGGAAGGTATTCATGCTTCAATTCAGGGACTGGAGCACAGATTCAATTCCTAGATCAAGAGCCCCACACCACCGTCCCAAGGCACCCCTCCCGTGAGGGTATAGTTTCCGAAAGGAAGTATTATTGTAAGTCTCACGATGTGTTACCTATAAGACGGATTTAAGTATTTAAAAACTAACTTTAATCAATAACTTTCGAAAACCTACCCTTGTTATTAAATAAAAAAAATCCGTGTTAACTTAAGTACACATGTAAACAAGACATCCTTGCAATAGTAAAATAGCTAAGAAGGAGTTCGTTTACAGTTAAAAAAGATCTGTTTTAATGATTTACGGAAATTTCCAAAGCACGTGCTATCATTTAACAATTTAACTTCATGTTAGTTAAAAGGACACAAGTGCAACTAATGTGACATTATATTGTGGCACAATATAATGTCACATTAGTTGCACTTGTGTCCTTTTACCTGACAATGTCGGTAATTCTGCCAACATTAATACAATTTAACTTCACCTGGAATGCTTTCTAGCTTGTCAAGAGTGCCACCGGTGTGACTAAGTCCTCTACCACTGATCATAGGCACCTTGAGACCCAGGGTCGCCAAAGCTGGTGCCAGTGCCAGGGACACCTTGTCTCCCACACCACCAGTACTGTGCTTGTCTGCCACCAACCAGTCCTCAGGCCAACACATCACCGAACCTTCAACATGAACCAAAGCCGCTTATGTTAGTCTCAATGAAAAGATTTTAAGAAACTGACAAAAAATCTAAAAGGGGCAGCAGGCTACATTTTCATGCAGAAATATCTAAATGAAATATTTTTACCAGTTTCTAAGCAGGAATTAAATTAAGAAGGAAATTCCAAAGGCATAATAACTTTTGACTTACAAAAATAATTTGGGAGGGTGCAAATCATGTGTATAGAACCTACCTGTTGACAGGTTCAAGACTCACCTGAATAAGAAACAAATTGTTACAATATACAGGCCCCTAAGCTTTGTTAATACCATAGTGAGCTCCATAAAAATTTTAAGCCCTTTCTCTGTTTGTTTTTCTATATAAATCTCATACACTCATTAGTGCTAAATGTAAATTCTTAGTGCATGTAGACGACACGACTCTCCCAGTAAAAGATGAATACAAACACACACACACACACACCAGTGAAGAGGCGGGGCCAGGAACTTGGACTCGACCCCTGCAGCCTCAACTAGGTGGGTACAACTAGGTGAGTACAGAGTTAACCTGTTATTTGAACTGGACTCGTGTAGATAATGAATAACAGACACCAGCCCTCAAGGGAGGTGAAACTGGCATCGGTGGGTGGCTCTTGATCCAAGGAGTCAGACTATCTTCCCTTGAATCCAATCTAATTGCCTCCCATCCCCCAAGGTGCTATACACACACATTCCTACTTCTAAGAGAATCTTTCCTCTCAATCTACCAATTGCAACTCTTGCAACATTGCAAAGCTCCTGACGAAGCACGGAAGTGAAAAAGGCCAAGAGCTAAACTCTCATCTGCCCGCCTCTGGCAAGACAGTGATAGTGTGAATGGTGAATGTTTCTTTTTCGAGTCACCTTGCCTTGGTGGGAGACGGCCAGTGTTAGTAAGTTTATTCAGGTATACACAAATACAGTTACATAGAATTATCATACATAGCAGCATATGTGTAGAGAACCTAGGATAACCCATTATATATTATATATAATATATTACAGGGTGTCCACAAAAACACTCCCTGATTTCACCGGACCTGTTTGTAACTTCTTTCTTTGGGGGTACGTGAAGAGCACAGTTTACGTACCACCACTACCTGCAACCCTGGAGGAGCTGAAAATTTCGATCACTGAAGCAGTTCGCATGACACCAGATATGCTGCAGAGCGTCTGGACCGAACTGGACCATCACATCGATGTTTGCCGAGCAACCAGAGGGACGCACATTGAGTTATTTAATACTACCCTATACCACATGAAACTGAATGAAATCCTGCATCTGAAGCTACTAACTGTGAAAGATTATTACAATAAAGTTACATATTTTTGTGGACACCCTGTGTGTGTGTGTGTGTGTGTGTGTGTGTGTGTGTGTGTGTGTGTGTGTGTGTGTATACTCACCTATTTGTACTCACCTATTTGTGGTTGCAGGGGTCGAGTCCTAGCTCCTGGCCCCGCCTCTTCACCGGTTGCTACTAGGCCCTCTCTCTCCCCGCTCCATGAGCTTTATCAAACCTCGTCTTAAAACTGTGTATGGTTCCTGCCTCCACTACGTCATTTTCTAGGCTATTCCACTGCCTTAACAACTCTATGACTGAAGAAATACTTCCTACTATCTCTCTGACTCATTTGTGTCTTCAACTTCCAATTGTGGCTCTTGTTTCTGTGTCCCCTCCCTGGAACATCCTGTCCTTGTCCACCTTGTATATTCCACGCAGTATTTTATATGTCGTTATCATGTCCTCCCTGACCCTCCTGTCCTCCAGTGTCGTCAGGCCGATTTCCCCTAATCTTTCTTCATAGGACATTCCCCCTTAGCTCTGGAACTAACCTTGTTGCAAACCTTTGTACTTTCTCTAGTTTCTTGACGTGCTTTATCAAGTGCGGGTTCCAAACAGGTGCTGCATACTCCAGTATGGGCCCTGACATACACGGTGTACAGTGTCTTGAATGATTCCCTTACTAAGGTATCGGAATGCTGTTTCTCAGGTTTGCCAGGCGCCCATATGCTGCAGCAGTTATCTGATTGATGTGTGCTTCCGGAGACATGCTCGGTGGTGTGTGTGTGTGTGTGTGGTGTGTGTGTGTGTGTGTGTGTGTGGTGTGTGTGTGTGTGTGTGGTGTGTATCCTCCACCATGGGTATCCTCCACCCAGCTGTTATACACAATAACAGTGTGTGAAGGTCATCTCTGCCTCACAGATACTAGTTCAAGGCAGAAAGCGTTAATTAACAGCAACAAGATCAATTACTAGAGTACAAGTACACACGGGATGAGGGTCGTCTAGTTACATTACTGTTGCTAAACGAACCTTATTATATATATAATATATAATCAAGAGGAGATTAAGGCAAGTAACAAGGCTGGTCGATTTTAACGAGATAACATTAATTACCGTTGTTCTAATGTCAAGGTCCCTCAACAAGTACAACTCCTAGAATTAAATTAGTTACTCTGCTCCAGTACGATTTTCTCTGCGCCATACGATATTCTCTGTCCAGTACGATATTCTCTGTGCCAGTACGTTATTATCTTCGCAGTACAATATTCTCTTCGCCAGTACGATATTCTCTTCGCCAGACGATATTCTCTTCGCCAGTACATATTCTCTTCGCCAGTACGATATTTTTCTGCGAACAGACGATATTCTCTGCGACAGAACGTATTCCCCTGCGACAAACGATATTTCTCTGCGACAGAAGGGTTTCACGGGGGCTTATTTTTTATAAAATAATAAAAAATCCTGCTTGATTCAGTTGTGCCTCCTAACTGCAGCAGAATACTGTCGGTTTAATATTTTTGCTCTTTGTTCTTTTGTGTGGTGATGCAGAAGAGAAGCTGAATAAAGCTTGCGAATACACGAGAATTTCAAGGGCACCTGATTACAGGGAAAGATGGCGGTTTGGTGATGAGGTAGGACAGTGCGCAGAGGCCTTGGGAGGCGTCCTCGATCGTAGTTTCCCCACATAACAGCCCAAACTCAATTCAAAGTTTATTCTTATAAGGATTACAATGTGAGTTTACAGAAATTTGGTTATTGTGTGGTTTACATGTTGTTAAATTGTGATTACAGAGTTGTACACTAGAACGCTTAGCATGGCTAGGCATTTCGGGCAGACTTTGTTTTTATTCTTAATTGTAAAATATTACAAATATGAGGTAAGTTGGGGATTATGGGTAAGTGACTAAATACTAGTTTGTGGTTTAGCAATGTGAATGCTTTTGTTTTGGCACAGTACATAGTTTCAGTATTGGAGTATCACAGGATTCATTATTTTAAGACTGAGATTAATATTTCGTTTATGGTCAAATGAGTGAGTGAGTGTAAGTTTTTGAACCACCAGGTGGTATTCGTGTAGTTAGTTGCCCGGGGTGTATCAGGGAGATAAGATGTTTTCTAATGGTAGTTTTGAAGATGATGAATGTGTCTGCAGTTCTAGAGTTCTCAGGTAGGGTATTCCAGATTTTAGGGCCTTTGACATACATTGAATTTTTGTAAAGGTTTAGTCGGAATGGGGAATGTCGTAGAGATGTTTGTGTCTGGTGTTATCCCTGTGGGTTCTGTCACAGTATCAAGAAAGCGTTTTAGGTCAAGGTTGATATTAGGTTTGGGGCCCCTGTAGATGTAGACTGCACAGTAGTAAGTGTGGATGTACTGAACAGGGAGTAAGTTTAGGTCATGAAGAGTGGGGGGGTGTGTTCCCAAAGGGATGGGATTTAGTGATTATTCTTACTGCAGCTTTTTGTTGGGTTATTATTGGCTTTAGGTGTGTTGCTGCAGTTGATCCCCAAGCACAAATAGCATAGGTGAGGTTTATGGATAAATAAGTGAGTGGTATAGTGTGAGTGGGCATTTTTGCGGCATTTTAGTATGTATCTTGGAGAGGATCCCAACCGTTTTGGATATTTTTTTGGTTATATGCTGGATAGGGTGCTGAATTCAGGTTGTTGTCAAGGTATAAGCCTAGGAATTTGCCCCATTATTTCTGGTTAATTAGCGTGTTGTCAATCTTAATGTTAATTTGTGCATCTCCTGCTCTGCTACCAAACATAATATAGTAGGTTTTGTCAGTGTTAAGCGTAAGTTTATTGGCTGTCATCCAAGTCGATATTTTTGATCAGCTCCTCTTCCAAAGGTGTTGAGGTGGCAAGACTAGGGTGAGAGATGACATAAGTCGTGTCGTCAGCAAAGAGAATGGGTTTCAGGTGTTTGGGATACGTTTGGAAGGTCATTGATGTATATGAGGAAGAGCAGGGGACCAAGGACACTTCCCTGCGGAACTCCAGTATCAATTGGCCGTGTTGTGATGGGTGTGTCTTTAATGGTGACATACTGATACCTATTAGTAATGTAAGATTTGAAATAAGCAAGCGCATGGCCTCTTATACCGTAATGATCAAGTTTGTGGAGTAGGATGTCGTGGTCTACTGTGTCAAAAGCTTTTCTTAGGTCAATAAAAATTCCTAGTGGATATTCCTTATTTTCCAATGCTGTGTTACAGCAGATCTAGCTTTTTTATGATTGCATCATTAGTGCTTTTATTTTTCCTGAATCCAAATTGGCAGGGGTTGAGTATGTTTTGAGCCGTTATAAATGAATACAGTCTCCTGTGCACGAGTTTCTCGAAGATTTTGGATAGCATGGTAGGTTAGATTATTGGCCTATAGTTGTTTAAATCTGTAGGGTCACCACCTTTATGTATTGGTGTAACCCTTGCCATCTTGAGTAGTTTCGGGAAGGTCATAGTCTCTAGTGACTTGTTAAAAAGTAATGAAATAGCATGCGAAAGGACATGGGCCGCTCGCTTGTACAGTAATGGTGGGACATGAGACAGATTCCCCGAGTTATTTTTAAGTGACTTTATAATCTCGGTGACTTCCGTGGGCTCAGTTGGTGCAAGATAGAAGGAATTAGGGAAATTCCCATCTAGGTAGTCCCCGGCATGGGCATTGGTATGTGGGATTTTACTGGCAAGATTAG